TTTTCCCCTTTGTTTCTTGATCGTTTAAGCTTTCATTATTGCTTCTTTGGCCTATTTTACGCTAGTTTGTGTTCCTTTGTCACATTTCAGGTCCTAGCACATAAAGTGAAGCATAGGCGCAAGTTTCAAGTCAATTGGAGATCAATTGGCGACTCGGGGGAAGAAACTCGGGTATGACTTGAAGAAGAAGTGATTTCTACCTCAGTTTGTGATCATATAATCATGTAATCTTGTCTTGAGAAGAAAGAGGACGAGACTACGAGCATCTGGGATCAAACGACACCTGATTTGGAGTCCGAACGAGGGAGAAACGAAGAATCAAAGATAGGGTAAAATTGGTTTCGGGCTTCTCTGAGAAACAGAAGGGGGCCCTATCGTGAACCAAAAATCCCCGGTCGTGAACCAAAATCGCCGGTCGTGACCCAAAATTCCCCGATCGTGAACCAAAAAATCCCCGGTCGTGACCTAATATACCCGACCGGGTATTTTGACCGGGGATCGCGAACGCAGGCTGTTAAAAGCCTGTTTTGTGCGTTTTTGCAAGGGGGAGCTGGGTTTTGGATCCCAAACACCCTAGGGACGAACCAAAGAGAGAGAAGGCGATTTGAGGTAATTCTAAGAGGGGAATTGGAGGATTTCTTCGCCTTGGAAGCTCGAGGAATAAGCCCGGACTTGAAGACTGATCATCTGAAAATTCTTACTGCAGTCTCTCTCTTCTCTATGGAGTAACTTCCCTTCACTTAGGTTTTGAGGAACCCTAGCTATGATTGTTTGATTGGATGATTGTATGAGTACTCTTACTTGATAATCTTGAGTTCATATTCAATCTATGCATGTTTTCACGATTCAATTCTGCTTTAGTCGAGATTATTGATTCTGCTTTGATCCTATGAGAGCGAATACCTGATTAGGTCAATAGAGCACCATATATTGATAGTAGTGGATCGATTGCTTTAGTCGAGGGTTGATTCACTGCGTTGTATCAATTGAGAACCTCTTTCGATAGAGGGAGTCTAGTTCAGAACGCCTTGATCGGTTGTGCGAGAGAAGGATACGTCCCTCTAGGCAATTGACTCAAGAGGGCCTTGTTCCTTTAGTCGAGACTCAAGGTCTAGTCAAGGATTCTCCGCATTGTGGATGAAAGTGAAACAAGTTAGAGATCATCAATAGTTAATCTGGCTAGTGGCTAGGGGGAATCATACCTGAGTGAGTTCCCAACCTGTAATTAGATTAACTTTAACTGTAGTTTGCTAGAGTATTTTTAGTTCTTTCATCTTAATCTAGTTTGCTAGATAATGAACTGAAGCTGAGTAATAGTAACTCTAGAGACCCGTGGATTCGATATTTATTACTTGAGCCACTATACTACAGTCCCTTCCATTGGTTACACTTGGCCATTATTAGGAGTTGTGTCATAGCAAATCAGCTACGGATCACGGATTCGGCATGAGCTGAACGCTATTCTCCAGCAATGATGAAGTCAATCAATAGTCGATGTTGGCAAAATTCTTTCTGGGGACATTTTCGTAGTTTTTCTTGCACTTTTTTCGAAAATGCATTTTCCTTTGATTTTGAAGCTATGGAACGAGGATTCGGCGTGAGGCTATCCTGCATCAACGATTAAGTCTATCAAGCACCGATTTGGGGCGATTTTTTGGAATGGCCAGTTTTGTTTGATTTTGGAGGCTACGGATCTCAGATTCGGCTTGAGGCGAATTGGGGCTATTCTCCAGAAATGATGAAGTTCATTAATCAACGATTGAGCGGAGTTTTTTCCGGGGGAATTTTTGTAATTTTTCGTGCGCTTAAAATATCATTGAAATTTTATATTTTGAAAGCTTAAAATTCTTATTATGAGTTCCAAAATATATATATAAGTTCAATTTTTTAGATGTCATTTGGATATAATCCAATCCATGATTCTACTAATCCATGGATCCACATATCCATAGATTCAATCCATTTGCCACCTCTAATTAGAGACAACGTTATTTATTATTTTTAAAATCCAATGTGCGCAACTAATTAGACGTCATAAATACAAAATAAATTGTGATATAGAAAAGGAAAAATACAAAAATAAGAGGAAAACTAAAAGATACTTCAACAAAATTTCCTCTCCGTTAAAAGATAGTCAAGCAAAATTTTATCTCTTAATAGTTTTTTTTAATAAATCATCTCTTAATAGTTAATCCTACTATTTATTTATAAGTTGGAGGGTTAAGTCCAACCTGTAGAATAAGCAAAGGCCATTTTTTTTAGCCCAACCCATTAGGACATCGAAGTCTATATTTTAAGCCCAATTAACCAAAGGTTCCGCTAGAACTAACAGAAACAGGCACTCTTAGGCAACAATAATTGTGCTTTATGTTTATATATACTAAAGTATAACAAATCCTTTTCCACTTTGGTATGGGAACTTGTCTTGCTGATATTCCAGTCCAATTGCATCCATAGCCTCCAGGAAGGTAATCCTGGCGATTCCATTTTAAAAGCCAGGAATTGCTTTATCCAACTTAGTTAGCTCTACCTATAGGGCTTGGGATACGGTACGAGTAATTAAATCTCCACCTTTCATTCAGATATAAGTGAGCGCTGAAAATCTAGATCTAATGGTAGTGAATTAAAAACATTTTTTCCCTTAGTTTTCTTAATCGGCTCTTATTTTATTCGTTCTAACTCGGATTTCAAAAAAAAAAAAAATTCAAAGATGGAACGAGTTTGTTGTGCTCAACAAAATTAAAACAATTTTCAATATATTTTGGGAATTTTTTTCATACCTCCCGTTACCAACTACAAATGACTCGCACGAAACTACACCACAATAAAATTCCAACTAGAGCCCAAGTTTTTAAACTCTAATCTGGTGCAATATAGGGCAAGTAATTAGATATTGACCGGGACGGTCCGTCTACCCCTACTTCAGTTGTTGAAATCATTATCTAGCAACAAAACTTTGGTTTAAAAGTTTGCTAATTGAAATGAAAGAAAACAAAGGTAAATGGTTTTGATAACTCTTTTTTGTGGAAAGATCACTTGGGTGTCGCTCCCCCCTAACTGCTCCCACGCCATGTGGATTGGAACGATTGCTTTGGGCATGGTAATCGTGAACCGCAGAGGGATGCATATATGGTCGGAGACCACAATCTCAATAGCTACACCGAGGTAAGCATGAAAGGTCGTGTCACTCGACCCTCTCGGTTTAGACAATCGGTAATTGACTTACTCCCTCACTTAACTCTAAGGTTGGGCGGCTTGATCGCGATTAACCGACTTGCTCAACTCAATATCGAGGTTTTCCCTAACTTAACCTAGTATAGGTGTCTTAGAAAGCGGAAGGAAAACCAACTCGATTGAGTCTCCATTGGAAGGGTGATTTTCCTCTCTAAGCTAGGCTAATGTGGCTAATTAGATTTCTAGCACCTACATGCACAAACCTAAGGGTGCTAGCACAAAACATGCACAACCCCTAAGTTGCTAAGCATAAGCATGCACAATCCTGATAAATAATGCCTCAATCATTGAATTGAACAATACCCAATGACAATCATCTAATACACATAAAAGAAAACTACATGGTAAAGTTAGGGTTTCACAACACCCAAGTGAAAGGAGGTTACTCCATGCTAGAAGTGGGAAAAACAAAAGGGAAAGAGATGGAAACCATCTTGGAGGATGCTCCAAGTCTTCTTGGCTCTTGAGTTGAGCTTTCCTTGGAGGTAATCTTCCCAAAATTTACATTGAAGCTAAACCCTAGCATTCTTCTCCCCTTGCTTCGTGTTTCTCTCTCTAGAATGTAGAAGAAGACTTTTCACACCAAATGGGCGCTCCCCTCTCTCCTCCTTTCAGCGCATCTTTTAAACCAGAGACGAGTTGAGTTCACGGCCGTGAACCATGAAACGCGTCTGTGAACTGCAGGCGTGTGCCAAAATGCGCCGCATCGTTCACTCGAGTTCACTTTGGCTCTGGACGCCTCGCGATTCACGGTCAACTCCTCTTATTCACAGTTATGCAAGACCGTGAACTCCCTTTGTTAGCAGTGAACAGACTCTTTTTCACCTCTTCTCTTGATTTTCGATCATTTTCGCCAATCTTTCGACTCCGAGGCTGGTTACATCTGCTAAATCTTGAAAATCACTCGAATATGAAGAACCTAGCATAAAACCAACCTTTAAGGAATGAATTTGGCACAAACACCTAAGTAAAACGGGGCAAAACATGTGCAATTAGGCCCGAATCAACATACCATATGGTAACTTCTTCGTTTTTAAGTTGTTTTTGAAAATATTTGCTCAGAAGGAATGATTTCATCATGATCTATTGGATCTACAAATTTCTGGGTGAAAAAAATTTAGTATAAAAAATTACCATACTTTACCAATATGGTATGGGGTGCTAACTTGTGGTAAACAATGATGAAAGTCGTAATGACAGTTAGTATACTCCTACTATCATGTATACAACATTCCTACAGTCTTTGTATGTTCATACCATCATGATACGCTTTCTTATCATATGGTATTAAATAGGAGCATACCATATGGTATTGACTAGTAAAAAATGACTCAAAGTGGATATCATTTTAAGAGCACAATTAATATTATTTATGTGTGCAAAAAAATTAAATTCCGACATAAAACGAGAGAGAAATCGTCCGTTAAAGATTAAAGGGTAAAAGATAAAAGGCTTTTCTGCTTTTCATGAGAGAGATGCTGATGTGGATGGGTTACTCACCCTAAGGTTACTGACCTGATCCGCTCCCTACCTATAGCTACACGGTTTCAGAAACAACTAAAGTACTAAACTAATCCCAAAAAGGAAAAGGCAACTAATTCCACTCTATAAGTATACCAACATACCTCATAAGTCTCTCAAAAAACTTCCATACTACTTCCTTTTAAAAGATAAAGTAACAATTGCACCACATATATTCTCTTTCGTACCCCATCGCTCTAGGCCTAGCTACTCGATCCTTTCTTGTATTCGATTATTTGTACACCATGACTAAGAGTAGCAGACATGCATTGTTCGAAGGCATACTCTTCCTCTTGATGATCATGTTGTTTGTGTCGGCGGTGCATTCAGCTTGTTCCCCGCCTCTCAGGCTTGGCTTCTACAGGCGCTCTTGCCCAGCAGTGGAATCCATTGTGAGAAGAACTGTGAGACGGACAGTGTCTCTCAATCCCGGCATCGAGGCTGGGCTCATAAGGTTTCATTTCCATGACTGCTTCGTCCCGGGTTGTGATGGTGCTGTATTGCTGAAATCCCTCGCCGGTGGCCCGAAAGCAGAAAGAAGAATCGAGCGCATCTTCCATAACACCGTCTCTTGTGCTGATATTGTCCTGGGTTGTAGTAACCGGCGAGCTCAATTAGTACGATATTGTCCGCTTTGGGTCAAGCCCGTACGGTTTTACAATTAGGTGTCCTCCCCAAAAGGCCTCGTACTAATTGGGCTAGGTGGACACTTATATACAAGGGTTCCTTCCCTTTTATTTCCGATGTGGTACTTGGATTGTTCCATAACAATCCTCCCCTCAAGACAAGGACCACAAATTTCGTGTTGTCACCTCATCGATTATCCTGATCTGGCAGACACCTTGTATCGATGGGCTTCTCGGTACAAGGATTTTTCCCAAACGCGGATCTCTCCTAGATCCACCAGACCGACGCAGACCTCCCTTGATCCGCCAAAGCCCAAACGTGGATCTCTCTTGGATGCACCAAACAGACGCGAATCACTTTTGACCAGCTAGACAAACGCAGATCTCAAATCTCGAGGTTCATCGAATGATGGTCCACCAAACTAACGTCCACCGCCCCGAACTAAACCAGACTCTGATACCACTTGTCGTAACCGGGATGCTCAATTAGTACGATATTATCCGCTTTGGGCCAAGCCCGCACGAGTTTACTCTTGGGTGTCCTCCCCACAAGGCCTCGTACTAATGAGTTTGGCGGACACTAATATACAAGGGTTCCTTCCCTTATATTTTCGATGTGGTACTTGGATTGTCCCATAAAAATCCTCCCCTCAAGCCAAGGACCACAAACATTGTGTCATCACCTCAACTATTATCTTGATCCGCCAGACGCCTTGTATTGATGGACTTCTTGGTACTAGGACTTTACCAGACGCAGAACTCTCTTTGTTCTGCCAAATCAAACGCGGATCACACATGATACGCCAAATCAAATGTAGCCCAGACGCGAAACTTGTAACATCCTACCCTGTACGTTTTACCTAATCATATTGTTCATACATTTGCAGCTGAAATAATATCAGGTGTTATATTAATTATCAAAAATCAAATAAAATTTTGACATGAATTACTCGTGTAATGGGCTCATAGTTCTTGCAACTTATCCTAACCAAATTATTCATCTGAATCCCTGCATTCTTAGACATACATATATACTCATAACCATATACATTGGCTTTCATAGCTATAGTCACACTTTCGTACTCTGCAACTACATACCATACTTATACATGTCATAATCATCACTACATACACCACCACACACATATACACATATAATCATTTTCCCACACCTGTGGATATCTCACAATACATCAGAAGCTAGTATGAAAATGAAAATGTTCTCAAAACATTTTTTACAAAAAGGTGTGGATCACTGGCCAAAATTCCAAGCAGTCGTCCAAGCACAGAATAGTTGAAGACAATACCTCATTCTGCCTTCAACTCCTCGCTCTGCCCACACCTAAGTACTTGCTACTGCTACTGCTGATGAATAGCTTACACATAGCATAAGCAGAGGAAAAGAATAAAAGAGGGTCAGCTCATGGCTGAGTAAGATAATCATAGCATCGTGAGTTCATAACAGAGCATACCCCTACCATACATCTAGCAAACAAGCCAAAGAAGTGGGATCAGACCTCAGCCATCCGACATTCCAATAGGCAAAAGACTCAACCACCTTGACTTATGCATATGCGTCTTATCATGTTTTAATCATAGGCGTCTGGCTACTCCCATGCTAATTACTCTCCCGGGAATACGGACCAAACATCTTGTGGATGTGGTCATATCGCACCCACCACTGCCGGTGTAATCATATCGGACTCGATACCACTCTGGGTGTGGTCATATCGCATGATGAATCAATGTTCAACACCACATAAGGGGAGTGACATAACATATCATAACGGAGTAATAGCATGGAGAGCCCTAATTACTATGTAATTGACCATGAGACCAAAGTACTCTTACTTGGTATCCTTATACATGATCCATATATCATCGTGCTTAATCATAATTCGTTACTTGGACATGTCCTTGACCTGGCCACAATTGGCTCAACATAACCAGGAGTCGTATAATTGCACTTCCTCGGGATAAACCCTCGTGCAAGTCATCCTACTTAAAACATCATAATATCACCCTGTGAAGTTTATTTCCCACTTGTGCATCCAAATACAACAATCATAAAAAATCATACTTAATTACCTTCTCAAACCATCATAAGGCATATTAACAGTCAAGCCCACAATTTGCAACATATACGCAATCATCAGCATAAACAAGGTCCATAAGGATTAGGGCAAGACAATAATATCATACAACAGTCCAGGGTTCAGCATATAGCACAAAAGATCATACACCCCTAATCATGCCATTCTAGTTCACCTAGGTCAATTCTAAGCATAAGTATAATTATCATGATACGACAAACCCGGTATGCCGTGCTAATCCCTCACCAGTTCTGGTCGTTCAAACACCGGTTTTAGCTTCTAGTACTAAAACTTCACTTTCTCAAACAAACCCGGAATCAAAATATGAGAGAGTCCTAATATCCCCTGCAGTATCCCCGTCAATGTTAGTTCTTGGCTCCAGATCAAATTCTCGATAAAAACACATCAAACCCTGGCAGGAGCTAAATTCATCAATATGGACCCCGACCTAAATAATTGCCGAAATTCAGGGATTAGAACTAGAGGATTAATTACCTCGCTGCAGGAAGCTCGTATATGAAATCTGGGCTCAATTCGGCTTCCGGATACTCCAAAATCCTAATTTGGCTTATCGGGAATTCAAGAAATTCTTGAATCAAAAACTCATTTTAAAACTCTAAATCGATAAACTACGATGTATAGATAGATTAGGTATTACTTACGAGATTTTTGGATCACTAAAGCTCAAGAAATTAGCTCTGCTAATTCTCTGTCGAGCTCCCCTGTGCGGCCTTTGCTACTCTGGTTCTCTCGGTCCCAGAAAAGGAAAAGAAAGAACAAAAAGAAATGGATGGGAAGAATGGTACACTAATTGTTTTTTATATTAATTATATATTATATAATTAATACGTATACTTATCCGATCGATCGATAATCCGATTTTTGTCGAAATAGTGTCGAAATACTCGATTTTGAATCGTGAAATTTCCTAGCGACCGTAATACGAGTTTAGCCGAAACGGGATGTTACAATTCTCCCCTAATTAAAAGATTTCGTCCCTTAAATCTAACCTCGAGTTAATACTACACATCTGTTCATTCCCGTGCTAGCATATACTACCACATATCTGGTTACTACCTAACTCTTAGGTTAGGAGCTCTGAAGTACATAAGTAAACACATAACACCATCAGTTCCCATGTTTTGGTTTCACAAACCTATGTTGGGCTATCACCACAAAAGCACATCAACAAGTTCAAAAGCATAATTCAATAAACCAAATTATTAATCTGCAAAGTAGGTTGCCACTAACCCAAGGTTATATCAACCTACAAAATGGTTAGCACAACATCATCAAGATTCATATCTCTATTCAAATATCTACCATCACAACTCATCATGTTGGCACAACCTAAACCCAACTGCATTGCATAGCTAGCCACCATGCTTCTCGATCGGTTAGTAGTAACACTAAAAGTACTTATGTGCAAACTACAAGGAAACATTGGCCCTAGTTTGATCCACACACCATTTGTGTCTAACAAAGGTACTCACTTTGCTGAAACAAAACTTTCTTCAAAATAATTACTTGGACAACAAGATAAAAACTCCACATATTTTCAGAAATCTCTTAAACCATAAAATTTTCAAGATTCATTCAAATACTCAAAATCATGTTTGACCATATGCAACTGACTATGCAACACATCATCACCTTTGGTCCCAATCCTGGAAAGTTTAGTGCAAGTACAGGTATGGAGTACTCCCTCCCCTTACGAGGGTGATCAGTCTTCAAGAGTGAAAGTAACATACCTAATGCAGAAAACAAACCAGTTCTGATACCAAACTGTAACACCCTACCCTGTACATTTTACCTAATCATATTTTTCATACATTTTCAGCGGAAATAATCTCGGGTGTTACATTAATTATAAAAAATCAAATAAAATTTCGACATGAATTACTCGTGTAATGGGCTAACAGTTCTTGCAACTTATCCTGCCAAATTATTCATCTGAATCCCTGCATTCTTAGACATACATATATACTCATAACCATATACATTGGCTTTCATAACTATAGTCACACTTTCGTACTCTGCAACTACATACCATACTTATACATGTCATAATCATCACTACATAAACCACCACACACATATACACATATAATAAACTTTCCACACCTATGGATATCTCACACTACATCAGAAGATAGTATGAACATGAAAATGTTCATAACATATTTACAATAAGGTGTGGATCACTGGCCAAAATCCCAAGTAGTCGTCCAAGCACAAAATAGTTGAAGACAATACCTCATTCTGCCTTCAACTCCTCGCTCTGCCCCCACCTAAGTACTTGCTACTGCTACTGCTGATGATCTGCTTACACATAGCATAAGCAGAGGAAAAGAATGAAAGAGGGTCAGCTCATGGCTGAGTAAGATAATCATAGCATCGTGAGTTCATAACAGAGAATACCCCTACCATACATCTAGCAAACAAGCCAAAGCACTGGGATCAGACCTCAGCCATCCGACATTCCAATAGGCAAAAGACTCAACCACCTTGACTTATGCATATGCGTCTTATCATGTTTTAATCATAGGCGTCTGGCTACTCCCATGCTAATTACTCTCTCGGGAATACGGACCAAACATCTCGTGGATGTGGTCATATCGCACCCACCACTGCCGGTGTAGTCATATCGGACCTAACACCACACTGGGTGTGGTCATATCGGACTCGACACCACTCTGGGTGTGGTCATATCTCATGATGAATCAATGTTCAACACCACATCAGGGGTGTGACATAACATATCATAATGGAGTAATAGCATGAGGAGCCCTAATTACTATGTAATTGACCATGAGACCAAAGTACTCCTACTTGGTATCCTTATACATGATCCATATCTCATCTTGCTTAATCATAATTCGTTACTTGGACATGTCCTTGACCTGGCCACAATTGGCTCAACATAACCAGGAGTCGTATAATTGC